GAATCACTTAGAACAATTCCTGGCACATGGTAAATGTTCTATACGTATTCCTTTTATTAATCCATTCCATGTTCCAGTGATATCTGAGCATCTACTTTATAGGCTGTGGAAATTCAATAAAATAAAAATAGATCTTGTGTTAGGATGGAGGGCTTTGGGGTGATCTCTTTCATTCTCCAGTTTCAAACCTTGTAATGCGAGATTATTCATTGCAAATTTGTTATGAAAAGCGTTTGTATTTTTAAAACAGCGTGAGCCACCTTCACAGACTCTCCCTGCCCTCTGGGAGTTCCTTAGTCTGCTCCAGTAGACATGTTCCCAGCCTTGGGGCGTTTCCATATGGCAGGGTGGTGTGGCCTCTGCTTGCCACAGATACACTCGTGTTTGCCGAGATAGCAAACGTGGGCTGGGTAATAAGCTGGGAACACATTCCTGGGGTGATGGTAGTGGTGGGAAGTGAGGAGGTGGGGCATCAAGAAACAGAGCCCCTTCCCCTGACCCCTGAGGGAATGAATCTTACTACCACCTACTCCTCTCCAATTCATTCCTCTGCTCCCCCCACCTCACCTCCTTCCTCCCTGAAAGGGAGGTGTTGAGGTCACACATGGAACAAGTGCAAGGAAGCCAAGAGCTGTTTATTTCTTCTGCTGTTGTGTTTTTGTTTGGATGGGCATGTGGTAGCAGTGGAGGGGAGAGGGCAGTGGTGCTGGGCAGACAAGAGTGCTGGGTGAGAGCGAGCAGGCTGATGAGAAATAGGAGAGGGTGTCAGGACTGGCAGCCTTGCCAGTGGCCACTCTGCTCTCCTCCCCTTGCCCAGCCCTGTAGTTAGCTATTTTGGGCTGCAGAGGGAAAGGGCTGAGCTTGCCAGGGCCTCCAGGGCCAGAGCCAAGGCCAGGGAACCAAGAACCTCCCTCTGGGAACCAAGAGCGGGCCGTTCTTTAGGAACCCTTCAATCTGTGTTTTCTTTGATTTGGACAATTGAGATTTTTCTCCCATGGAAAAAGAAGCAATTTAGAAAACTGTAAGCAACATGGACGGACCTGGAGATTGTTATACTAAGTGAAGTAAGCCAGAGAGAGAAAGAAAAATACCGTATGATATCACTTACAAGTGCACTCTAAAAAAATGACACAAATGAACTTATTTACAAAACAGAAACAGACTAACAGACATAGAAAACAAACTTACAGTCACAGAGAGGGGAGGGGTATATTGGGAGCTTGGGATTTGCAGATACACACCACTATATGTAAAATAGATAAACAACAAGGTTCTACTGTAGAGCACAGGGGACTATATTCAATATCTCATAATAACTTATAATGAAAAGGAATATGTATATATGTATAACTGAAACATTATGCTGTATACCAGAAATTAACACATTGTAAACCAACTATACTTCAATTTTTTTTAATTATTAAAAAAAACCCTTCATAAAAGAAAAAAGAAAACTGTAAATATTACAGATCAAAAGGGCAATGGCTATAAAAAGATTCTGGGCAGCCACTGCCCCAGGTCACCTTCCTCCTTCCCCTCCTAACACCAGTTCCTCCTTCGGCAACAATCACAGCCAATGTCACTGAGCGTTTGCTCTGTTCCATGCACCAGGCAAAGAGTTTTACATGTACAAACTCTTCTAATCTTTAAAACAGCCTTGTGAAGCAGATATTTTTATTGTCTCCACTTTACAAATGAGAAAATCGCAGTACAGAGAGTTTAAATATTTTGCTGAAGGTCACACAGCTAAGTGGCATTTCTCCCAAAAGCCATTCCTGGACACACACACCACCCTCCTCAGCCGTGTGTCCCTTGTGTTTCCATAGGTGCCTTGTAAAGATTTCTCCCCTGCACTGGGGGCGCTATATTTAAGTTATCCGTGACACATCCGCTTCCCCTATAGGCTGCTTGCTCCATATTGTCTTACTCATATTTGCATTTCCTGCATATAGTAGGTTCTCAGTAAATGTTAGCTGAAGGACCCCAAACTACAGCCATACCAAGCCCCTAACCACTCTCAGAACACACCTCTTTCAGGCTCTTGTCTCAGCCTACAATGCCTGTCCTCCTATCCTTGTCCATCTGGTAGACTCCTCTTTGTCCCGCAAGGCCATCCCTCACCTGTCACCTTCTCCAAGAAGGCTTCCCCAGCTGTCCATGCAGAACCCACTGCTTCATTCCCTGGGCATCTCAGCCAGAGCCCACCACTAGGCTATCAGGCGGCTGGACTGGTGCACACGTCCATCCTCCCCCATCGCCTGAGGGCTGTACTGCTTCTCTCCACATCCCCAGTGCCTAAGAGATCCAGGATGCGTGTGTTGAACAAATGAGAGAGTACATCTGAGGATGTGAGCACGAGGGGTGTCCAGCCTTGGTCATTTTCCACAAGGAACAAGATTAACAGAGACCTTTGCTGCCCCTCCAGCTCAAACTGCCCAAGAGACTGGCGTTAGATGGGTCCCCGGCTCTCCTTTCCTTTCATTATTCTCCTCTACCCAGGCTGGACCTGGGGGCTTCAGACATCAGGGAGGCAGGGGCCTGGAGGCCTACTGACCTTCCTTCCTCCAAGGTCACATCTTTGGGGCATGGAGTTACGGCCCTTGGAGAGAGGAGTTGTGACTCAGCCCACCTAGGGTGGGGGCCTGAGGGGCCTATTTACCAGGGCCCTGAACTTGAGAGCCAGAACCTGCCATGCCTCAGCCTCTTCCCTGCCCCACCATCATAGGCACATTGAACATAAGGCTGGAAGGGGTCTCAGAAGCCGTGAGGTCCAGAGAACCAAAGGCCTAAAGAGGCTGGGGAAGGACATGCCCAATGGCACGGATATCTGATGATCTTGGGCCTGGCCTAGGGGTTCTCCATGCACCTCACAGGCCACGGTAAAGGATGGAACACCCCAGTCATAGCTCCTTCTGTCCCATGCCATGGCTTCCACCAAGGCTCTCATCATCTCCCACATGGACTGTTGCAGTAACTGGTGTCTCTTCCACCCATACATCTCACACACAGCCAGCAAAGTGACCCAAAGATCAAAGCTAATTTTAAAACCCTTCAATCCATCAGCCACTGAACCAAGTCCTAATCCTTACCTGGTGTACAAGACCGCGGGGATCTGGTCCCTCTCCACTCTAGCTGTAGCCTTTGCCACGATCCCTTCTACTCTACTGTCTAGGAGACGCCAAGCCCTCTCATGCTCCCTTGTTCTTGCACATACTCTGCTGCTCCACCTGATGAACTCAGCCTTAAAGACCCGGCTCAAGTGTCACTCCCTGGTAGAGCCCTCCCTGATGTCCTGGAAAAGTTAGGGTATCAGGGTAGGAATGCTCTCAGCTGGAAGCAACAGAAAACCCAAGCAAAGGAATGATTCCGACCCTGGGTTGCCATCAGAATCCCCTAAGGAGCTTGTAAAAGTCCCCATCACTGCACACAGGTCAGATCAATTTAATCAGACTCTCTGAGGTAGACCCAAGTAATTTTCAAAACTTCCCGTATTCACATGTGCAGCCAAGTTAAGAAGAACTGAAGCAGGGGTTGTTTTCCTCACATAATGAGTCCAGAGGCGGGTGGGTGCTGGTGTCGGCTGAGTGGCTTAGTGACATCCAGGCCAGCGTCTCAGTGATTCTCTTCACCTTTCCTTTCTGCTTTGCTGCCTGATGGCCACAAGATAGCTGTAGCTGACCCTTCGAGATCAAAGCAGGAAGAAAGCTATAGGGAGAAGGGTAGGCCCCAATCCATCCTCTCTCATGAGCAAATCAGACTGACCTAGAAACCACTTCATCAGACTTCTGCTTACATGTCATTGATCGTATTTTCCCCATGGCAAAGGTGGCTGGGAAAGTGGACAATGGCATTTCAGATAAATTGAGAGGACCAATCAGGCTCTGTCATGAGGGGCTGAACGCACTGCTACTCCCAAATCAGCGTGTGTTATCCGGGTGGGAGGTAAGGCATGGATACTGCAGGGTGGCAGAATAAACCACCTTCCACAAAATATGCCAGTTGGGCATAGGGATTATTTTGAGCTAAAGGCACATTAGGGAAAAAAAAAGAAACAGCAGATGCAAAAAGAGCATTCTAATCTCTCCTTTTCTTCTAGAAAACAAGAGACAAAAAAAATCCCATGTGAAAGATGCCCTCCCTGTACCGAGAAAAGAAACATTCTTTGATGGGGAATCAAAGCCAAGAAAATTCTGTACAGACCTTGTTAAAATCATTCTTATCCTCGGTATATTTTAGTCACTTTTTCACAATTTCCTCCCTTTATTCAACCTAGTATAAAAGTATTAATGTTTTGCCATTTCCTTGGGTCTTCATTTCCTTAATTTTTCTTATGCATTGAGAATTTTTTTTAAGGCTTGTTTTTTTTTTTAAATGGAGATATTGGGGATTGAATCCAGGACCTCCTGCCTGCTAAGCACGTGCTGTATCCCTGAGCTACACCCACCCCCTGGGTCTTCATTTCCTCATGAGGGCTCCCATGTCATGTAAGACATATAAATGTGTGTGCTTTTCTCTTCTTAGTCTGTCTTATGTCACTTTAATCCTCGGGCCCAGCTGAAAAGCCCTAGTTGGGTGGAGGTAGAATGTTGCCTCCCCAACACCGCCAGCAGATTCTGCCCCAGAGAGTTACCTCTCTCTGGTTTCACAGCTTCTGTACACACAGACATCACGTGAGGGCACTGTGGAGACGTGTGTCGACATGTCCATGTCTCCCGCTAGACCAGCAGTTCTCAACTCAGACTGCACATTAGAAATATCTGGAGAGCTTTTGAAAAATACCAAAGCCTAGACCCCATCCACAGAGGGTCCAGGTAAGCCCAAGCGAGATTAATTTTTAGAAGCTCCCCCAAGTGATTCCAACATGCAGACTAAGTGAACCACTGGGTTAACCCCTGCTATCGAAGACCTTTAGAACAGGTCTGAATCTTGAGCACAGTACTACTTATAACATGGGGCTCACAGGAAATCCTCACTGAATGAATGAGTGAATGAATGAATGAATGAATGGCAGAGAAGAACTTCTGCTCCAACCTCATCAACTCCCAGCCTGCACTGTGCCCCGTCCCCAGTGTGGGCCCTCCCTCCTCTCCGTTCTCCCTTCTCTACTGAGCCCTGCACTTTGCCGCCCTCCGTGAACCACATCCAAGGGCCGGCTGGGCTCTCCCAGGTGCGCAGACTTCCCGCTTCTCGTGCAGCTGCTGTGCTAGACACCCCGGTCCCACTCTTTCCTGTAGCTGCCCTAGTCTGAGAAGGAGATAAATCTCTCCACTGACAGCCAGGCTCAACTCTTGTGCCCAGCCCAGCGTGACAGGAGAGCACTGGGAAGGTTCCATGTACTTTCTATTCCGCACTTAGCCTCAGTCCTGAAATGGACCCCCAGGTAAGCAGTGGGGGAGTGCCTGGCCTAACTAACAAGCAATCCACAGACAAAATGTTCAGTTCTCCTGCCCAAGTGCAGGAAATGTGTCTCATCTGATTCCTTGGACTAAGGTGAGTCTGAGAAATGACCCTGTTGATGTCACCAGAATGTTAGCGGTGAGGACATTCCCAGAGATGACACCACCCAGTATCCTACCATCTGATTCTAGCTTCCATCACACTTCTGAAACTGCTGGTTCAAAGATCACCTGCAGGGCCAGCTTCAGGGGCATGGCACCTGTGCAGTCCTGCATTCACAAGGGCCCTGTACTTGGTTTCACCATCTGCTGCTGTTGCTGCCTTGCAATTCTTAACGGTTTTGAACCAAGGAGCCCACATTTTCATTTTGCACTGGGCCCTGCAGTTATGTCTGATCTTGGTCATTCACAGTCACTTACAAAATCCAGTAAGGTTTTCCTTCTCAGAAGGGAAATGACCTCCATCTCCTTTTGTGCAAATCTCTGTGACCCCGACTCTTCTGCCCACTTCCATGACATCAGTAGAACATGGTGTAATGAGGAGGCATGGCTGCAAAGGAGGGTCGGGATCAAGAGGCCCCAGGGGAGTAAGTCGTCCCCACCCTGCTTGGATCCCAGGCATGAGGGAGAGTGAAAGGTCCAACTTGATTCCAGCAAACAGACAACCTGAGTCAGCTACAATCCAGAACAGACCGTCTGCGGGAAAGCTTGGAGACGACCACGACAGACTTAGGAAACCTTGACGAACTCCTTCCAACTCCTGGAGGGGCCGTCTACCAACAGCACAGAGAACTGACTAGAATTGAGCCACAGTGCTCCCTGCCAGGCAAGCAGGTTGGGCACCCTGTAAGGAGCCAGGAGATGAGGTCCTCCAGAGACAGACAAGTGTTCCAAGGAAAAGGCCAAGGGAAGTTTCCTCACCACGGAAGAAGGTGCCACGGGGCACCGTAGAAGGGCAGAGGAGAGTTGGGGTGTGATGGAGCTAGGGGCAGTGGATGTGAGACGGGCCCACCCCAGTCCTGCCAAGCAGGGATCCTTCTGCTCAGCCAGGCTCTGGACAAAGGGCAGAGGTTCCAGGAGGCAGAGTCTCAGCCCCAACTGGGAGAGGAGGGATGGAGGATGGCAACGTCGAGGACTGGAAGGGAAGCCTGAGACAGGGAATGGAATTGGGGCCTGGTCTTCCCACAGCCGAGTTCATCAGGGTCCAGGATCTGCCCTCTCTTGGCATCACCCGGCCAGGCCATGGCTCAGGTATCCGACACCTGGGGCCTGGAGTCACATGCCAGGAAACCCAACACTCTTGGGCCCCAACCCCCAACTTCCAGCAGCTACGAGCAAGCAGGGCTGCTGGAGGAGGAAGCGGGTCTCCAGAGCCGAGCAGCAGGGAGGCTTCTTCCCGGGAGAGGGCAGCACAGGAGGAGGCTCTCCCATCAACAGGGGTGAGAGGCTGGGAGGAGGAGGGAGAGGACAAGGGAGGAAGAAGGGGGCGAAGAGGACAAAGCTGGGGCAGGCAGAGAGGTGGACGGTCCCAGAAAAGGGTAGATGGGCATAGAAAGTGGGGTCTGAGCCACCCAGCCTAGCTGGATGCCGTGAAGTCCAGCTGCTGATCCGTCCTCCTCGTCTCCTTCACATAGGTGCCAAGCAGGCCCTCTGGTGCCTACCTGGCCCACCTGGCAGCCACCCAGGTTGGTTGGCAGAAAAAGCCTTTATTCCAATGAAGGAAATCAATACGTGGGCAGAAGCAGAAGCTTAGAAGCCCCCAGACCCAGAATGACCAACAAGGCCTTGGACCAAGAGACTTTGCAGAGTAGCCCTCCAGAAGCAAAGAGATCCTAAGAGAGTCTCAGGCCCAGGGGGGCCTTTTACCCAGTAAGGAGCCTTAGACCCCAAAGAACCAAATTGTTGCCTAGGCCTGGAGAGCCCCCAGAGGAGAGGCCCCAGCCCAAAGAGAATCCCCAAGGGGACTTGAGGAGGAGAGAGCTGGCCATGGGGAGTGGAATTCTCTTGACTCACTCTTCTTTGATGGGGTTTTTCCTTCCCCAGATCCTACTCCACTCCAGGACTATGCCAATCTGTGGCCATGCTCCCATCAGCCGGTCACCTCCTGTCCCTGCTGCTGGTGATAGGCACAGGGGGTGTGGTGCCCAGCCCCCGGGTAGCTCCCCAGGGCTGCTACGTGGCCGAGGAAGCAGGGGAGCGGACATTCCGCTGCAGCCAGGCAGGCCTGAGCACCGTGCCCACTGGCATCCCCAACGACACCCGCAAGCTCTACCTGGATGCCAACCGGCTGGCATCGGTGCCGGCTGGTGCCTTCCAGCACCTGCCTGTCCTGGAGGAGCTGGACCTGTCCCATAATGTTCTTGCCCACCTCTCTGGTGCCGCTTTCCAGGGCCTGGCGGGCACACTGCGCCACCTCGACCTCTCTGCCAACCAGCTGGCCTCGGTGCCCCTGGAGGCCTTCGTGGGGCTGCAGATCCAAGTGAACCTGTCCGCCAACCCGTGGCGCTGCGACTGTGCCCTCCAGGAGCTGCTCAGGCGGGTGAGGCTGGCACCAGGCACTGGGACGGGCATTGTGTGTGGCCCCGGAGCCCGACCAGACCTCGTGGGGCAGGAGTTCCTGGCACTAGCAGGGGAGGAAGAGCTGTGTGGGACGGGGCGGGGCGGGGCCCGGCGGAGCACTGATGTGGCCCTGCTGGTCACCATGGGGGGCTGGCTGGTGCTCGTGGTGGCTTATCTGGCCCACTACGTGTGGCAGAACCGGGAGGAGACCCGACGTCCCCTCAAGCGAGCACCCGTGCTGCCTGTGCGCTCTGAGGACTCCTCTACCCTCAGCACAGTGGTCTGATGACCAGGACCACTCCTCCGGCCCACGCCCCACACTCCTGCTTCTACACCCTCCCGTCTCCTCCGAACCCCTCTGTCTCCTCTGCAGCCCTTTCCCATCCCCCAATTCCACCCCCTTCCTCCTCTGTCTCCCCTAAACACCTGATCTCTCTCTCAACCAACACCATCTTTGGTGCCTGAGGTTTTCAGTGCCTACTGTGGGACTGGATTGTGCTAGACACAGAGCTTCTAAGTCTAGGTAGCGGGGGGAGGGGGACAACAGAACAGAGAATGACAGTAGGTGGTATGTGTGCCAACTCAGAGGTAGGAGCAGGCAGCTCAAGAGGCTGGCAGAAGTGATCTCAAAGGCTTCACCCACCAGATGGATGCTTGAACTGACTCTTCAAGAATGAGGAGGAGGGCTTTGGGCAGAAGAGGGACACCCTCAGCTGAAAGTCGGTGGACAAAGGCAAAGAAGATGTAAGGACTCTGAATGTCTAAGCAGTGGCAAGACCTACTTGGGGGCTAGAAGGTGCATAGAGGGGCGAGGGGCTGCTGGGACCAAGCTGGCAGTGAGGCCAGAAAGGACCCGGCCGGATCCTCCTCTCTTCTCCCTCTGCCTCTACTGAAAAGTTCCTGCATCCTCAGCGCTTCTCACCTCTCTCAGGGCCCTAGACTCCTCTTCCTGTACCTTCTATTGGGGTCCACCTGGCTTAGCTTCCCTGCTTCCTTTTCCAGAGGTTCCCTATCTCTCTGTCCTTTATACACAGAAGGGCTTCCTGAACCCTTCCCCTTGGGAGAAAAGCAGTCTCTGCTCGGCCTGAGCTGGGGATGGGTCACTAGAGAGACGGAGGTGGGGGGCGGGAGGGAGCCAGGAGGTTTCCCATCCCCAGAACATCACTGGACAATTGAATAAAGTCCTTTCATTAATGCCCCGATCTCTCTTATTGTTCATTTCATTGAACACGTGTGGCCCCGCAGTGAGGAAAGGGAGGGTGCTGAGACTTTCACCACCACCTACACCACCCCTTTGGTGGGGGTTGCCTCCAATGGTCTGGGTGCCAACTCCTCTCTCCCCTCCTACCTCCCAGCTCCTGACACCAGAGTCTATCTGCCAGGGGTGCCAGGGGTTATGCATTAGTGATGTTGCAACTGGAAGGATGTGGGGTGGGAGGGGACCTGGAGGGAGGACAACCAGGGTAGAGGGAAGGAGGGCAAAGCCCTGGCATCAGCACAGAAAGCAAAGGGAGAGAGAGCCATGACTCTCTTAACAACCCGTCTCTCCTCTCAGCGGAAGTCTGAGCAGGGAGTAGGGAGAAACTAGATGTGCTCAAAGTTAACCAAAAGAATTCCTGAGCAGAGGGGGAGGGCAGAGTTGGCTGAGGGAGGGGGCCATATGAGATATCACCAACTAGGCTTCTCGAGAGGCCCAAAAGGGCCAACACACCCTGTACCTTGCCCCTAGGAGGGTGACTCACTTATGTGGCTTCCATGGAGGGAACAGCCACTTTGGGGAAACTCGTAGGAGCCCCAGTAAAAACTGAAGATAAGAACCATAGAATCAGGGTGCCACCCAGCTTGTGGCAGAGCCTGGGGCAGACTGGTAGGACACTTAAGGAACAGCAAAGAGGAATCCATTACCTCCCCTGGTCCTTCTAACCCATTCTGACTTCCCTGTCTCCCTTCCAGCCCCTCCCCTCCTTGCTTGATCCCTGAGGCTCCTCCCACCACTCCAAGGCTGAGCTTCCTCGTTATCATCCAGGAAACCTCAATTTGATGATCTCAGAAAAACCTAGGGCCCCTCCCCCATTTTCTTTTCTCAGGAGACATGGGCCTCCCTCTCCATTTCCAGAGATGCTTAGGGATGGGGGAAAGAACTTGGATGTGGAAAGTTTGTACCTTTGTACAAACTTTGTACCTGTACCTTTGACCATCCACCCCAGCCACATCCTGATCTGGCCCTTGGAATCCTGGCCCCATCCCTATCAAACCCTCCATCAGTCCTTCCCCTGCCACTCAGAATCTGCCCTAGTCTGCTCAGCCACCCTCTTCTGGAATCAAGCTGGGACACATCTCACTGGGTTCTGGGAAGTAGACTGTGGAGACCTGTAGCAGAGGGGAGGGTGAAGGGCAGGTGGGGCCCTGTGTCCCTATCTTTGGTGCCCATTCCTGGAGCCTCATTCGACTCCCTGTCATCCTGAGCAGCAGAGACAGCTTCTTTAAGTTCTGCAAAGAGCCAGTTCCCCTGCTCTGACCCCTAACCTCAATTCTCAGAGGTGAGTTCAGATGGGAAAGGATCCAGGGAGAGAAGTTTTGCCTGGAGCCCAGGTCAGGGAGAGGTCCTGGAATTCTGGAGAAGAAACATTCCAACAGTTATCCCCACGGCCCCATTCTGGCTCAAATTCCCTTCCCTCTCAGAGCTAGGACAGGAGGGCAAGGAGAGGGAGGACAATTGGGGCAGAAGATGGGGGGTTGTGGGGGTGACAGGGAGATGCTTCACTGGCTCCCTTCCCCAGGGAAAGACCCCTTCATCTGAGCCAGTTGGGAACTTGTTGGGAGGGGGTATCAGAAGCTGTAGCTTCAGCTTAGCCCATCACAGGAGACTGGACAAAATGGGGCCTCCCCAGACTCAGAGAGGCTCCTGCTAGGACAACCATCACTGAGTACTTAAGCCCTTCTCTCAGCTCCCTGGTCTCTTGGTTGTGTTTGTCCGCTGGGCAGGCAGGAAGGAGTGGCATAACTGGTTTCACCTCATCCTTATCTCTGCCAGGGACCAGGGATCACAGGATCAGTGTTCCGAAACACCAACAGGGCGCTGGCAAGACAGCTGGACTGCCTCATTTTTGCAGTCTGCTTCTGGCCCTTCTGCCTGGTCCAGAGGAAAGGGGGATCCACTATGTCAAGACCAACCTCTCCCTCCTGGATGAGCCAGAGCCAGGAATAAAGCGGCCGGGTACCAAGGGAGCTCAGCCACATGCCTGGTCCAGCTCGGAAGCAAAAACCTAGGAAGGCAGGCCCCAGCTTGTCATCTCCAGGCAGCACCCTGGAGCCAGCGGGCAGTGGGTGGGGGTGGGAGGAGAGGAGAGCCCCTCACTCAGCCCTTCTGCCACCAGCTTCTTCCTGCCCTCTGGAGGGAAGCTGGAGTGGTAGAGAAAGCAGATGCTGCCCTCCCTCAGGGAGCCCCAGTCTGAGGAGAGATGTGACCCTAAGCCTCAGGGAATCCCCAGACTAATGGAAGAAATAGAGTCCTTTCTCTTTGGGGAGCTCTGAACCTGGTGAGATCAAGACATCCCTCAGACAAAGACTGAAGCACCTCCAAAGCCTGGTTCTCCACCAAAGGAAATAAAGAAAGAACAAACTGAACACACAGGAGCTGAGGGAGGCAGTTAAGAGCGGCAGGTGGGGCCCAGCCCCCACCCTTCCTGTGCTGGGCTCACGTGCAGACATTGCAAGTGCCACGTGAATGAGGGGAGGTCAGCATCAAAACCGGAAGAACCCAGGCAGCTCCTTCCAAGCACTTCCCCCATTAGACTATGAGGAGTTCCAATTGGAAACAGTTTCCCCTTGTCTCTCTGGGACTCTGTCATCAGCAACGTCACCTGCCTGTGAGGAATGAGTTCCCAAACCAGGAAGGCAGAACACAAAGCAGACAGAGCAAGGCGTCTGAGCTGTCAAAACAGATCCCACCACTAGTCCATGCATTCAACAAACATTATTGAATTACTACTGTGTGCCAGGACCTGCAGATACAAAGATAAAGAAGTTGTGGAGCCCATCCTCGGGGACCTGACAGTTAGTGTATCAATGATGGCGGCCCAGAGGACAGAGGCGTGCACCGGGGCCATGTGAGCCTAGTAGGGGCATCTAAAGCAAACACTCACTAAGGTTCAGGTACTTGGTTCACAGGAGCACTTAGAACCCATTTATTTTACCCATTTTTTAAAATCTTATTTTACACTGAGTTCCAATAATTTTGTATCTCTGGTTTCCCACATACAACAGGTTAGAAGCAGTATATGTGAAGATATACAGACACACAGACAGAACAACAGCAGTGAGAAACAACAGCCTGGCAGCAGGGAGGGCCATTATTAAAAGAATTTATAAGAACTCAAAAAAGCAGGTGTTGCGGTGTGTAGCTCAGTGGTAGAACGCATGCTTGGCATGCACAAGGTCCTGGGTTCAATCCCCAGTGCCTTCGTTAAAGGGGTAAAATAAAATAAAATATTTAAAAAACCAAATCACTGTTAAAAAGAAAAACTCAAAAAAGCAACACAGTAGGGCATCTTACTGTCTTCTAAATGGCCCTGTGGGGACAAATGATTCTCCTCACCTCCAGAGGGCCAATGGACATTGGCAAAATGCATAATACTAATGTCATGGACTTTTGACTTACCTGTAAAAAGAGGTCAAATCTTGGACTGTCCACTCTCAGGGACAGGAAGCAGGTGATGCATTTGAGAAAGTTTCCCTCCAATCAGGGCAGAAGTTAACGATGAGGAAAGACGGTGGAGAAAAGGCTCATTCCACCCGGCCTGCCCCCTGACTCCTTCCTCCCACGGCACCGAGGTCTGGCCTGCGTCGAGTAGTCCCGTCTCTCTTGCACACAACAGCCCTCTGGACGGGTGAAGATGGCTCTGGAGTCTCCAGCACAAGTCAGCACATCATGGTCTTTCTCTGTTCTTGTCTCTCTGTCCCTGTTTAATGTCCCACAATCACCACCGCACCCACGCACTTGCCTCAGGTCCCTGGAATCCAGTTTATCTCCATCCGGTCACAATACTCATTTCTGCACTTAGGACAATTACTATCCTCCTCTTTCAGAACATTCAAATAAAAAAACAGACCTCAAGTCTGCATATTAAAACTAACGTCTGAGGTCAGCCTTCAATTCTCATTCATTTAGGGAGTCACAGGCAATTTATCATGCAGAGTCAAACCATCAAGGATGGTTCCCACAAGGGATGTGTGGGAACAAGCACAGGGCATTGTGTCTGCCCTAAAGAACTGGGAAAAGATTCCGAGATCACCCAGGCTGCAGCCGTAGAGTTCCTGGTGAATATCTCCATCACAGTCAGCAGCCAATGTCATCCTGGACATCCAAAACCTCAGCACTGCAGATGATCTGGAAAACCTAAGAAGAGGTGAGCTGCAGAGTGGGGTGGGGAGGCAGGTTGAGGACTCCAGGCCAGCCAAGGGGGCTGGAACTAAGAGACATGCCCTGACCTAGAGTCGCACAGGCTGTCAGAGCTGGCAGGGATCTTCATTTTACAAAAGAGCCCAGAGAGGGATGGTGAGTTGTCCAAGGTCACACAGGGAGTCAGGGAAAAAACAGGACTAGAACCCACAGACCCCCTGTCCTTTTGAGACACACACACACACTCCTCTTCCAAGGGAATGGGTTGGGGGAGGGGTAGATGGAGACGATGGTGGACTCGGAGATGCAACCAAGGGAGCTGGACACAGGCAGGAAGAGAGCCCCACCCACTCAGAGCCAGCTCCACCCCACCCAGCTGAAGAAGCTTCAGGAGCATGGGGAGAACCTATCCGTACATGGTGACCGAGGCTGTGAAGATGCCGAAGGAAGCCACCCTGGAGGTAGGGAGCAAGATTGCAGGAGCCATTCCATCTCCCTTCTGACTGCTGCTGGGTTCAAAGTCAGGAATCTCCAAGATGATTTCTCTGCTCTGCCCCCCATCCATATACACACTCCTTCCCTCCCACAGCCCCTGAGTCTCCCCTGAGTCCTTGCCTGTCATTAAGGCACCCTAACATCCTTCTCTCCCATCCATGCCTGCCTCTCATCCAGTTCCCCTAACAATGGCCTCCCACCTTTTACAGTACCACTCTTCTCTTTTTAAGGACTTTTGCATCTCATATCTCACATGAATCCTGTGAGGTAGGTGACGCTGCTACAGCAAACCCCTTCTCATGTGTT